GAAGATGAAGTTAAGGAAATCACCCAGAAAGCAGAACAATAACAACATACAAGAGATGGAAAATAGACATAATAAAATGATAGGATCCTTCCAGACAGTCTAACATCTGAATAATAGCAATTCCATAGAGATGGAGCAGAGATTATAGAGGGGAGAAAAGTGTCAAAGACATAATTTGAGAAATTTCCCCGTATCTGAAAGACACGAATGTACAGACAGAAAAGATCCACAGAGCACCAAGCACAATGCATGAATATAGATCCACACGAGGCATGTGATGGTGAAATTTCAGACCACTAGGGGCAAAGAGGAGACCCTATAATCTTCCAGTGGGGGGAAGGGGATATTAGGAATGAGAATAGTGTCGGACTTCTTAAGAAAAACAAAATATAAACTAGAAAATCTGGACTAATGCCTTCGAAATTCAGAGAGATAATTACTTCTCCATACCTAGAATTCTGTACATATCCAAAACACCAAGACAACTTCAGAAATGCCAGATCCTCAGAGGGCAGACAGCAGAAGCAAGAAGAACTACAATCCTGCAGCCTGTGGAACAAAAACCACATTCACAGAAAGGTAGACAAGATGAAAAGGCAGAGGGCTATGTACCAGATGAAGGAACAAGATAAAACCCCAGAAAAACAACTAAATGAAGTAGAGATAGGCAACCGTCCAGACTAAGAATTCAGAATAATGATAGTGAAGATGATCCAGGACCTCGGAAAAAGAATGGAGGCAAAGATCAAGAAGATGCAAGAAATGTTTAACAAAGACCTAGAAGAATTAAAGAACAAACAAACAGAGGTGAACAATACAATAACTGAAATGAAAACTACACTAGAAGGAATCAATAGCAGAATAACTGAGGCAGAAGAACGGATAAGTGACCTGGAAGACAGAATGGTGGAACTCACTGTCATGGAACAGAATAAAGATAAAAGAAGGAAAAGAAATGAAGACAGCCTAAGAGACCTCTGGGACAACATTGAACGCAACAACATTCACGTTATAGGGGTCCCAGAAGGAGAAGAGAGAGAGAGAGGACCCAAGAAAATATTTGTAGAGATTATAGTCGAAAACTTCTCTAACATGGGAAAGGAAATAGCCACCCAAGTCCAGGAAGTGGAGAGAGTCCCAGGCAGGATAAACCCAAGGAGGAACACGCTGAGACACATAGTAATCAAATTGACAAAAATTAAAGACAAAAATTATTGAAAGCAACAAGGGAAAAATGACAAATAACATACAAGAGAACTCCCATAAGGTTAACAGCTGATTTCTCAGCAGAAACTCTACAAGCCAGAAGGGAGTGGCCTGTTGTATTTAAAGTGATGAAGAACCTACAACCAAGATTACTCTACCCAGCAAGGATCTCATTCAGACTCGATGAAGAAATCAAAAGCTTTAGAACTTCTCTAAGTGGGGAACACAAGAGAAGAAAAGGACCTACAAAAACAAACCCATAACAATTAAGAAAATGGTAATAGGAGCATACATATCGATAATTTCCTTAAACGTGAATGGATTCAATGCTCCAACCAAAAGACACAGACTCGCTGAATGGATACAAAAACGAGACCCATCTCTATGCTGTCTACAAGAGACCTACTTCAGACCTAGGGACACAAACAGACCGAAAGTGAGGGGATGGAAAAAGATACTCCATGCAAATGGAAATCAAAAGAAAGCTGGAGGAGCAATACTCGTATCAGATAAAATAGCCTTTAAAATAAAGAATGTTACAAGAGACAAGGAAGTACGCTACATAACGATCAAGGGATCAATCCAAGAAGAAGATATAACAGTTATATATGCACCCACCATAGGAGCACCTTAATATGTAAGGCAAAAGCTAACAGCCATAAAAGAGGAAATCGACAGTAACACAATAACGGGGACTTTAACACCTCACTTATGCCAATGGACAGATCATCCAAACAGAAAATTAATAAGGAAACATAAGCTTTAAATAACACAAAAGACCAGATAGATTTAATTGATGTTCATAGGACATTCCATCCAAAAACAGCAGATTACACTTTCTTCTCAAGTGTGCACGGAACGTTCTCCAGGATAGATCACATCTCGGGTCACAAATCAAGCCTTAGTAAATTTAAGAAAATTGAAATCATATCAAGCATCTTTTTTGGCCACAACACTATGAGATTAGAAATCAATTACAGGGAAAAAAACGTAAAAAACACAAACACATGGAGGCTAAACAATACGTTACTAAATAACCAAGAGATCACTGAAGAAATCAAAGAGGAACTCAAAAAATACCTAGAGACAAATTACAACGAAAACATGATGATCCAAAACCTATGGGGTACAGCAAAAGCAGTTCTAAGAGGGAAGTTTATAGCGATACAAGCCTACCTCAAAAAACAAGAAAAATCTCAAACAATCTTAAAAAAAAAAAAAGCCAAATCTTGAAAAATTTAATTCCTTTTTACCCTTGGTGTTTCCAAAATTGGAAGATTATCCTAGGAAGAGGAAGACTTAAAGTAAGCTGGTGATCTATCCCAGGAAACATACCTGGAGAATCGCCCAGGACAAAGGTAAGAGGAGACCCAGAGTGGCGCTGTGGGACTGGCCTGTAGAACCAGACAAGTGCAGGAGTATGGAGGGCTCTTCCAGGAAGTCGGGTGGGAGCTGTCTCCAGAAAAAGATGCCATTGGTACAGGACCAAATGAATTTTATCGTACTGAGAGACTGCTACGTTTGCAGGAAAGTTAGTGATGAGTTAGTAATAAGTACATAAAAAGTTAAATGAAGAAAAGTGACAATTGTTAACTCCAGGAAAAACACAAAGTTGTCTAAGAAAGAAGGTATTACTATATATAGTGCACTTTATGGTCTAATAATCACATGGCCATAGGGTGTAAGCACTGAATATTGATTTAACCAAAATTATAATATGGCTCTATTTGGAGAATGGAGGAGGGGAAGTGGGCAGGGAGATTTAAGAGACCAAAACCTCTTTCCATTTGGAAAACCAATAGATAAGATCTAAAATTTAAACAGAATCTAGATATAGCCATGTAAGTGTCGTGTTTGAATATACAGAGATAAATATCAGAGTAAGTAGCTAAAAGCAGTTGTGTCTAGAGAGTGGGAATCAGGGTGTAGAAGATGGAGGAGGAGAATGCTCATTTTTAAAAAGCTTGTAGAACCACTGGACTTTCAAAACCATGGATATGTATAACTTTAAATTCTTTTTAATGAAGTCAACAGCAAGTAGTTGCAGAATCACTATCTGAACCCGATTCTGTCTGAAGCCAATCCCAATTTTTCCTCTCAAGATAAATTCTTTGTACTTATTGGCCTCTGGACTTTGATTTTCTTTAGAGTTTGTTTGTACAATTGATCCAATAATCTACAAAATCCAGGAGCATATGGGCTGGGGTAATCCCACGGGGATTACCGTAAGTGACAAGGAGAACTTGTTTTGGGGTAGGAGGGATGTCTCACAGAGCCAGAGGGCAGGGAACTTGAAGCAGGGACTGGGGCACCACAGGGAACCCTGAAAGTTCTTTCTCTCTTTTGCTTCTATATGCTCCCCTGCCTGTGTCTGCTTTGTTTATCTGATTCCCAGTTCACAGGCGAGGAAATAGCCCCTCATAGCCCCTCAGTCTGCACCTGAGGGGAGCGCTTGGGAGGGGATGAGATAAACCCAATTTGAATGCCAAGTTCTGGAAAGTCAGAAGGGAGGCCCCAGTGGGAAATACATGCTCTTTTAGGAGCTTGAAAGGGGTCATCTAATGAATGGCGTTTAGGGCCCTGGACCCTGTCTGCCCCAAGCGGCCTGCTGGTCCTGGGATGTCCCTGCAGATCCCAGGTATCAGTAGGCAGCCATGCCCTGCATGGGTGGCTGGACTGGGGGAGCTGTAGGGATGTCTGCAGAGAAGTCAATTACTTGTGTTGGAACAAACACAGGGCTTAAGCAGCAGAAATGGCACTGACTTGGGGTTTGAGGAAGGCATCCCAATTCAAGCTCCTTCTTTGATTAGCTATATAGCCACTAGCCCCAATGGGCTATTGAGAGCTTGAAGTGTAGCTAGTCTGAGAGCTTGAAATATGCTCTGAGTGTAAAATGCACACTGCATTTTGAAGACTTAGTATCCCCATAATACAAAATATCTCATTACTATTTTATTCTTATTAATGGTAATGTTAATATTAATGTTGAAATGGATAATATTTGGGGTATATTGGCTTCAATAAAATATATTATTAAAATGAATTTCACCTTCCTTTTACTTTTTAAAAATGTGACTCTTAGAAAAATTAAAAATTACTAAGATGGCTCACGTTATATTTCTATTGGACATCACCAGTCTAGACTCTAGACCTAACACATTGCCTTTATTGAAAAGAACAAAATCACTCAGGCTTGGCGTCACTCTGGAAAGCTGGGGAGAGGTGTTTGTGCAATCCTGATGCCTTAGCTTCCATTTAGTGTTAAACAGCACCTTGTTTTTCAGGGTCCCAAACCCTGGTAAAATCCACAGCTGTCCCCTCTCTACTCTGCCTGTGACAAACCAGCCCTAACCACAGGAGACAAGGTGAGGACAGTGTTCCTGACAGAAGACTCATGTACCCTTAGGGGGCTGCAGAAGTTCTCAGGGGACCTGAAGGCCATTCCAGTACTCTGGAAAGCCTGACGGAAAGAAATTCTACAGCTTCCCAAGTACTGATGCCTTGGCCAATGAGATCAGTGTTTCTTGGCTCGAGGCTTCTAGCAACCCAGCCAGGCAAGGTTGATGGTCTCAACTATCAGAAGCTCCACCTGGCAATTAATTGTAAGTCTCTCTGACATATGAAAATGCTGAAAAGTTAATTATTCATTAAGATGTAATGGGAGAGACGAAGTTTTTCCAAATATGCTATTCTTAGAGAATGATACCCCTGGTGCCCCTGGTGATGGAAAGTTTAGGAAGCTCTGACAGAAGTCATTGTGTCCTTCAGGGTCCTGTTTCTTGCATGTTTTGTTTCCACATTTGGTTGGTAAGCGATGGAATTTCCCTTAACTTTCCTCCAGGGATATGTCCTTGGCACGTACATCCCTCTGAAATTCATAGAATTTTGAGATTTGGGCGACTTCAGTTATTTCTCCATCTGGGATGATGAGCAACCTATCATCACTGTCAAAGCCCCACGACCAACCCCCATGATCAGCCCTCCTTACACCTCACCTTGGAATGTACCAAGCTTTAAATTATCTCATCACCAAGAACTAAGAGTGGTGACCACAAATTCCACAAATTCCTGCAGCTCTGCACGCCACTGGCATACCCACAGAACCAGTTCTCCATGCTCCTTGGGACCACGGGCACCTGGGCCCTCCCAGTGCGCTACCATCCCACTCTCCTCGACCTCCACCCTTGGGGAAGGCGGCATTGATCAGGAATTAAGTGCGTGTGCTCAGGGGCAGGCTGCCCAGGCTGTGTGTCCACACCTTCCTTACAGCTTGTGAAACTGGGGGTAAGTTATTTCATCTTTCCGGAACTCATTTCCTTATCTGTAAGCTAGGGTTTATGAGAGCACCTACCTCACTGGGAAGGATGTGATATTTAATTATGTATGTGCATCTAAGTACATGTACATGTGATGAGATAATGTGGGTAAAGCTCTCTGTAGTGCTTGGTTCATGGTTGCTCTCAGCAACTGTTAGCTCTGCTTAGTTGTTATCGGCTCTGTCTTTTCACCTGCTTTCACCCCCGGCCACCTGGGCTGCTCAGAGAAAGCTTGAGAATCAGACTGCTTGTCTCTGCTACAGAGTCACCATACTCCCCCACTGGGCCTCCCCATGGCCTGGCCATCAGTGTGTGTGTGTGTGTAAAAGTTTTATCCACAAATATGTGTGTCAGTGTGTCCCTTTTGGTAACAGCTTTATTGAGATATGACTCGCATACCATATAATTTACCCCTTTGAAGTGTGCAATTCAATGATTTTTAGTATTGCTGCACACAAGCTTTCTCTAGTTGCGGCGAGCGGGGGCTACTCTTCATTGCGGTGCACGGGCTTCTCACTGCAGTGGCGTCTCTTGCTGCGGAGCACGGGCTCTAGGTGCGCGGGCTTCAGTAGTTGTGGCTCGCGGGCTCTAGAGCGCAGGCTCAGTAGTTGTGGCGCACGGGCTTAGCTGCTCCACGGCATGTGGGATCTTCCCGGACCAGGGCTCGAACCCGTGTCCCCCGCATTGGCAGGTGGATTCTTAACCACTGTGCCACAAGGGAAGTCCCCACCTGACTTTTATAACTGGAAGGTTTGTACCTTTTGACCCTCTTCACCCATTTTGCCCATCCCCCCCAACCTTTTCCTCTGGCAACCACCCATCTGTTCTCTGTATCTATGAGCTTGGTTTTTGTTTTATTAGATTTCACATATGAGCAAGATAATTTGTCCTTCTCTAACTTATTTCACTTAACATAATGCCCTCAAGGTCCATCCATGTTTTGCAAATGGCAAGATTTTATTCTTGTGGTTGAATAATATTCCGTTGTGTGTGTGTGTGTGCATATGTATATGTGTGTGTGTGTATATATGTATATATATATACACACACACACACATATATATATTTATGTCACATCTTCTTTATTCATCGGATGATAGACACTTAGGGTGTTTCCATGTCTTGGCTATTGTAAATAATACTGCTATGAACATGGGGGTGCATTTATCTTTTCTTTCTTTTTTCTAAAATTAATTTATTTAATTAATTTATCTCTTCAAGTTAGTGTTTTCATTTTCTTTGGATAAATAACCAGAAGTGGTATTGCTGGATCATATGGTAGTTCTTTTTAATTTCTTTTGAGGAACCTCCATACTGTTTTCCATAGTGGACACACCTTTTTTTCTCTTTAGATCTGCCTATTCTGAACATTTCATGTAAACAGGACCATACAATATGTGGTCCTTTGAGAAGAGGTTTTTTAAATCAGCTTAATATTTCCAAGATTCATCCATGTTGTAGCATCTATTAGCACTTCATTTCTTTTTATGGCCAAATAGTATTCCATTGCATGACTATACCACATTTGGTTTATTCATTTATCAGTTGGTGGCCGTTTGAGTTGTTTCACTTTTTGGCTACTGTGAATAATGATGCTATGAGCGTTTGTGCATACATCTGTGAATGGCTACAGTTTTCATTTCCCTTGTGTATATACCTAGGAGTGGAATTGCTTGGTCTTATGTTAAGTCTCTGTTTAACTTTCTGAGGAGCTGCCAAACTGTTTTCTGAAGTGGTTGCACCATTTTACATTCCTATCAGCAGTGTAGGAGTGTCCCAATTTCTCCATATCCTTGCCAACACTTGTTATTATCTGTCTGTTTGATTATAGCCATCCTAGTATATGTGAAGTGGTATCTTATTATGGTTTTTATTTGCATTTCCTTGATGGCTAATGATGTTAAGTAGCCTGGCAATCATTTTAACCAATGTTTGCTTATTATCTCTTAGATTGTCATTGTGGGTGTTCCAATCACTTCCCAAACTTCACAAGGTCCTAATTCCTCTCATCTCTAGAGATTCCATCTCTTCTGCTATTCTCGAACATCTTCATGCACGGATTCATTCTCCAACAAATAGTTACAGTAAGTCCCCTACCTACGAATGAGTTCCATTTCGAGAGTGCATTCGTAAGTCCACTCTGTTCTTAAGTCCAACAAAGTTAGCCTAGGTACCCAACTAACACAATCAGCTATATAGCACTGTACTGTAATAGGTTTATAATACTTTTCACACACATAATACATAAAAAACAGACAAAAATAGAGAAAACATGTTTAGTCTTATAGTACAATATCACTCACTCCTGACATTGATGGTACAGGTTCTAGTTCCTTGCTGGATTCAATTCTGTTTACCCTCTTGCTTCTGGACATCCTGGGCTTGAGATACAGATACTGTATTACTGTACTCTATACAGTACTGTAAAGTACACAAAAGCACAACCTCTTGTAGAGGATGCATGCACATGACAATGTACTCCAGGCCCGTGAACTAACTTACGTGATTGGACATGTGAACGCGTGTTCACGTCTTTGAAAGTTCGCAACTTGAAGGTTCATATGTAGGGGACTTACTGTATTGAGCTTCTTTTATGTGGCACGTACTGATGGCTGGGGATATACAACTGAGGGGCCACTTACAGTCTGATGGCAACATGTCATCATGGAACTCCTCTGCTTAAAATGCTTCAGTGACATTTAAAAATTTGGGATAAAATTTAATAGCAAAATTCATGGCAACCAGGGTTCTGTGTATATATGAGTGTTAGGCCAGCCCAGCTACCCTCCCCGCCATTCTCCCTGCCTCACATCTTCTGCTACTGTCTTAGGCTCCAAATGAATAATACTTTCATGCAGCCTGGTCCCTGTTCTCCACTGCCCCTTCTAGACTGTAAGCTTCTGCAGGAGGGGATGATTCTAACGCATCCTTGCATTTCCCACAGCACTAGGACAATACTTGGCACCTTGAAAGTACTCAATACAATACCACACGATGTACTTGATACATTTATCGTTGAATTATTAAATGAATAGACGGCTAAATAAGCGAATGAATGAAAATATGTGGTTCTGCTAGGTAGTACAATTTACTTTAGTTTTTAGTTGGCTAAAGTTGGGCTCTATTCTTCTTTTCTTCTTTTCTTTTCTTTTTTTTTCTTTTTTCAGTACGCGGGCGTCTCACCGTTGTGGCCTCTCCCGTTGCGGAGCACAGGCTCCGGACGCGCAGGCTCAGCGGCCATGGCTCACGGGCCCAGCCGCTCCGCGGCATGTGGGATCTTCCCGGACCGGGGCACGAACCCGTGTCCCCTTCATCGGCAGGCAGACCCTCAACCACTGCACCACCAGGGAAGCCCTGCTCTCTATTCTAATCCTCATTTTAAACTAGCCTGAATGATATGCCAGGCCTGCTGAACTGAGAGCAGCTTTATTTTAGTCAGATATTTATAACAAATAGTGATGCTCTAAGGGGTTTTAAGTCATGGCGTGTTCAGATTTGTTTGTACCCTGTAGGGTTTTAAGAAAAATGAAATAAAATGACATAACACAAAATAAAATACCCACATTGCGAACATAAACAAGTTGAACAGAGTCACGTTTGGGGGCCTGTGTGGAAATTTGCAAGGAAAGCTGTAGAGTTAAAAGTGTCCAGGCACGGTGCACCTTCCCTTTCACCCTCATACAGGCAGGACAAAGGTCTCTCTTCTCTTAGGACAGGGACATGTTTCTTTCTTGGATGGTTTTGTTGAGGGAGAGGATGGAGGGGGAGGAAGTGGGCTTCTCCTGGGGTATCTAGCTGGGTCTAGCCCTGTGGGAGACAGGATGCGGGCCAGTCAGGCCCTCCAGCCCCCTCTGTCAGGCTGTTTCCTATTTTCAGAGGTCTATAGGGTGGCCCTTGTGAGGCAACAGTAATGAACACATTGTCCTGAAATGTAAACTGGGGAGGGAGGAAATGCCTGGCATTGGTGATATGTCTGTCTGCTTATTTGCCGAGAATGTTGTTTGGGGGAGATAACGTATACTGTGGAGACAGTGTTTTCAGAGATGTTTGTGAAGATGACGTTCTGATGAAGGACTAAGACAATGATGACATCTGAAGCAGGACTCAGGTCTCGCAGCCCTCCTGAGCTTGCCCTGGGTCCTCCCTGCAGCTCCTTCCTCCATTTTCAGGGTCCTCCTAGTGGCCCGTGCTCTGACCACCACACCCCCCAGCTTCTGGCCTCGTTTCCCCCGCACACCTCCCCCAGGAGGCCCTCTCATGCTCACAGCTGCTTGCAGCTCCTCCTCTCCATTCCCTTCCTAAAACTGAATTATGAGACCTTTGCTAATAGGCAGTAGAAAAGGCTCCCGGAGACAGCCGTCTCTGCTCCTCTCCTTTATTAAGTACTTTCCATGTGCCAGTTGTTTTACTTATATCATTCATTTAATCCTAACCACCTAAAAGGCAGCGATAATGGCCATTTCTCCCAGTTTACAGGTTGGGAAACTGAGGCTCAGGGAAGGAAATTGATTACCCTCACAATGGGTAGCCCTGGGATTTGAACTCATGGTCTGATGCAGAGACCTCACTCTTGGTCAATATATTCTGTTTCCTTCCAGCTGCCTGCCAGGCATCACGTGACTGTCTGGTGCAACAGAGGTGCATAAGGCAGCCATAGCCTTGAGGAATAGGGCTGCAAAGAATGCTGAATCGCTGGGAGAAGCACTGCAGCAGCAGTGATGGAGGGGCGAAGCTGGGGAGATAAGGAAGGATGGAGAGGAGCATGAGCAAAGGCACTGTGGTGGATGCTGCAGGCTGCTGAGCACCGCTCTCTCACTCCCCCAGCCGCCGGGAGCAATGGATGCTGATGGCTCAACGGACTTGCCCTTGGCTGGAGCGAGCTGCCTTGCCCAATGTTAGGCTCCCTCCCCAGGGGAAGCCTGAATCCAGGGATTGGTCATTAGGTGAGTACAAAGGACCGGCCCCCTTGCCTCAGTTGAGCACAACACTGAAGGGCCAACCCAGCCGCGGAGGGTCAGCCCCACAGGCTGAGCCAAGGCCTCTCAGGTCAGCCCCTTCCTCTACCATTCCTGGTCCCATCACTCCAGGAGAGGTACATACCCCCAAAACCCTTCTGCACAGAAGCCTACCTCAGAGCGTGTGTCCCAGGGAGCCCAAGACATGTGGAGGCATGGAAGTGTAAAGGTACCTACCGTGTTCCAGAAAGCATGGAAAGCCGTGTTCCAAGGCTGCTGGGCTCTAGGATATGGAGGGTGTAGGACTCCTGTGCAGGCGTCTCCTCCTGCGTTGTGATCTGAACATCCAGTGATGGCCATGCATCTACCTTTTTTCAGGAATCTAGCCTGCAACTCTGCCCAGTGCCACAGAGGCCTGACCCATTATAAGATTAAACTGCTTACAACTTTGGGGAAACGGCAGTTTAGAACCCCAATACGTAACAACAAAGAAGTGTTTGGGATCGTTTTATTGATGCTTTTGGAACGTCAAAGCTAAAAAGCAGCCTTAGAGCACATCCAGTCCAAAAACCCTCCGTTATCACAGGGAAGTGAAGCCCCAGAGAGGTGACGTGACTTCAGGTGAACGCAGATAGGGTCAGGGCCACCACCAGAACCCAGGTCTCCTGGCCTCCAGTCCATTGGTCTCTCCACCTCTCCTCGGGTAGGTCTCTACCTCATACCTAATAAGAACTTAAACATGAGCCCTTGAAGACTCACTCAAGGGCTCTACTAACAGTGACTTGTCCATGGGAGGGCAAACTGCGCTTGAAGAAGACGACCACCCAGCTTCCCCCAAGGACGCCAGCAGTCCTCCACAAGGCTCCCCACAGTGAGGCTGCGTTGCCGGTGCCAGGCCTGTCAAGGCTCGGTGTTGTTCCAGACCCTTCTGTACTTCCCTACTCCCTATCAGGTCAGATCCAGCTGCTTTTCTCCAACCATGGTCAAGGTAAACGTGGAAGCCGTAGAGCACCATCGGGGGTGCTCTACCTGTCATGCACCTGCTCAGTGTTTAGTGCCGGCTTCTCTTCACCTCTTCACTCCTGGCGTTAGATGGGTCCCTCCCTTCTCTGGGGAAAGGGTTATTGGATAAGCTCACTTCCAGCTGGGGCACTTGTTACAGCGTTAACAGTCCTAAGCCTCAGGACATTGACCTCTGATAAATGGATGACTCCAGACCCAGCACCGTATTGGAGACAGCAGGGCTCAGCTTTCACTGTCCTGTCTTGAACGGTGACTTTGCCCTCGGACCTGCCTCTCGGGGCTGGACAATTATTTACTCATGTAATCGGGCTCTGTGTGAACTTCTCTTGCCAGATAAGGCAGCTTTCTGAAAAAGTTGCCTTAGATAGAGCAGGGTCTCTCCAGCTGAGTTTTGTGTTTTGCTAGTGTCCTGTGGGCTGCTTGTATTAGTCATGCCATGGGCAGGGAGCGTCCTGTGGTCAGTTAAGCTGGAGAAGCACTGCACAGTTAGTTGTCTTTGGAAGATGCTCCAGCTACTTGAGGGCAATAAGTCCTATCTTAAATCTGCCTACTTTCATTTAACCTGTATCTGCCTGGTTTCACTTGTCTGCAGAAACTTTTAAAAATGGAATACCTTTTAACCTCCTTGAGGGGACTCAATCTCACCTCTTTCTGAGCTCAGTTTCTCTCATCCGTCCTGTGTTTTACAACTGGGCTTTCCTGTCTGGGTCACTCTTCTGGCGTCACTGTTGTGTATCTCTGCAGTGTCCCTTCTGCACACTGGGGTGTGGCAGTGCTCCCTGTTTCTGGTCCTGGTTTGCCTGGGACTAATGGGGTTTCCTGAGACATGGGACTTCCAGTACTAAAGCCAAGAAAATCCCAGGCAAACTGGGACATGTTGGTCATCTGTACTGAGCCCTGCTTCTTGCCTGTAGCCCCGCAGCTCTCTGGCAGCCACCCTGGTGCTTCCCAGGCCTCTTCTGGGATTCCCTGTTGCTGGGCTCAGTCTACCTGGGGCTGCAACCACAAGTTGCTTACGTGCCTAGCCTCTCCTCTTTCAGCTAGACCCAGTGTCCTCATCAGCGCCTACAGCCGGGGTAAGTTCCCTTGCTGCCCCTGTAGCAAACCCTGTCTGACCCCGTCTTATCCACCCTGAATGGACTTGAAAACCCACAGCACCATGATACTCACTCCCCAGGCTCCTGGCTCTGACCAGCACAGGGGTAGCTGAGTGGCTCTCAGGAAGGGTCATGGTGATGTGACCCAGCTGAGAGAGCTGATGAGGTAGGGGCTGCCCTGACATTCTGTGTGGAAGGCAGAGAACCAGTGTGTCCGGGGGAGAGATGCTGCTGCCTCCCAGGCCCTCCGCTCCCCTCTGCTCCTCTGCCAGTTGCAGGGTTTCAGGGGGGCGGGGGTGTTGGCACTGTGTTCGTCTCTGGGCCACAGATGCCTGCTCTGATGAGTGAGTAGTCTCTGCCTTGAGGGACTCACTCACACTGGAGGAGAGGGACATGGGGACTAGTGAGTGCAAGCCAGTGTTAAGGTGTGTCACAGCATAACTGATGGAGTGATTAACTTCTCCCTTGTTTTTACTCCTGTAACTGTTTTTCCATGTCCCCCGGTCTTTCCCCAAGCCTTTCTATTGCCCTGCTGCAAGGCCTTTTGTGTAGGTCCAAATCAGGATTGCTTTTGTTCCTTAAAGCCCTGACGTACTGGAAGATTGGTGACATTTGCTCTTGAAGGGGAGGGGGAGGAGATGACTTGCAGGGGGCAGGCTGAAGTGTAACCACATCAGGGAAGGTTTGGACCCAGAAGTAGATGTTCTTCCAGGTCTGTGAGCAATGGATCCCAACAGCACCCCTCTCCAGAGGGGCTGGGATCTGGAATGGACTGATCTGAACATACCGCAGCCCTGGGGACCATGGCAAAAAACCACTCGCTCACTGTAGAATGATCTACTGAATGTGTGCTCTGTGCCAGGCACTGTTGTAGACACTGGGATGAGAGGAATGAACAGAACAGATGAAAACCCCTGCCCTCATAGACCTTGGATCTTAGTTAGGGGAGACAAACCGAGTGCTCAAGACTTGGGCTTTTATCTGAAGAGCTGTGAAGCCATTGGAAGCATTTACCCAGAGGAGTGTGGGTTTAAAAGGATCACAGTGGCCTCCGTGTTGTGGATGGACTGACTAGAGGGGGGCGGAGGCGAAAGACCAGTTAGGAAGCTCTTTCAAGGATCCAGAGGAGAGGCAATGGTCGCTTAAATGTTGCTGATGAAAAGGGTTTAGGGTTTGGAGATGCTTTGAAGGGAAAGCCAGATAGATAAAATGTAAGCTATGAGATTAAAAGGAGAAATCATAGATGACTCCAGGGATTTTGGCCTGAACACCTAGAAGAGCAGAGTCCTCATTAACTGAACTGGGGAGGACTGTGGCCGGAATGGGGTTTTTGGGGGGAGGGATTTTGCACAGAAATAACCTGTGCCCCCCGATTCCAGGCAGGGCCACACCAGCCCATATGGCTGTGTGTAGATTAGAAATGGCATCCCTTCCTCTGGCAGACACAGCTCAGGGCTGGGGGCACAGCTTGTCAAGGGGACAGTCCCTCTTATAGCCTGAAGTCCTGTTGCTATGAACAGTATTCACAGTCACATACAGATGCCCTGCCTGGAGTGACTAGTGGTGTATCAGAAAGACCCCCACCAGCAGGATGGGAACAGATGGGTACCTGGGGCAGTGTAAACTGAACTTAGAGAAGTAACTGTTCATATCCCTATGTCATGATTTATAGTAAATTGTATACTTGCCTCAGCAGCTGCAGTGAGAGAAGGCCTGTTTGCATGAGTTCATTAGAGGTCTAAAGGCAGAAAATAATGTTAAGGAGTATTGTTGGTCTTCTTAGGATTAAAAAATAATGAATGCTGTTTTGTTGTGAAGTTATATGGTCCTCTTTTGTTACATGCTAAGAGCAGATAAGTTCTCTATATCAATCTCTCTTAATAGAGCAAACCAAATATAGGGAAAGAATCGCTTTTATTGTTTTCCAAATGTCTTACATTAGCAGTGGTATGGAACACTCAACATACTAGCTTTGAAGAAGTTGTTCCAAATCTAAAGGAGGGTTCCGTCCTCTATACACTCAGCATTACCTCACACATGACCGGGCAATCCATAGTTTTCTTTAGAAGGGACTTCACGACATACTGTAGTCATACTGTTTATATGTTATACTCTCATTCAAGCCTCATAATGACTCTAAGAGGTGGTACTGTTATCTCCCGTTTCACAGGAGAGGAGGTGAAGCCTTGGAGCGTGGAGATGACGCACCCAGGACCCGTCAGCTGATATGTGGCAGAGCCTGAATAGGCACTCCTGTTAGTTTGGCTCCAGAGTCCCCCTGTGTTAAACACTGTTCCTCAGACTGACTTCCCCGATGCAAAACCTAGAATTCCACAATCCCAGGGCCACACGTTTCTAGAATTTGAAGGGACTAACTGCATCTACTCTATGCCCCCTTCCTTACCTGATGCCTGAGTTCTCTCTAGTCATCCTTGATGAGATGTCTTCACCCTGGTCCTTGCACAAATGCCGGCTGATGGCATAAGAAGAAGTTTGGGAAGCTTATTAGAATGTGAATTTCTGGGCATCGTCCCAGATCCACTAAATCAGATCCACTAAATCAGAGTGTCAGGGCCCAGAAGTATATTGTTACCATGACCCCAGGTGGCTCTAGCGTGCAGCCGGGCTTGGGGCGCCCGCTAGAGCCACACTCTAGGGATGGGGAATGCCCTGTCTGCCTCACAAGTTGGTCCTGCCCATCATTTCCACCCTTAGCAATTTCTTTCCTTGATCCCCTCTCCTTGGCTAGCTCTGGCTATTAAAGTATTTCTTAGATTGCATTGAACTCCATCTCCCTGTAGCTCTTACTGGGCCCCATTCTACATTCTGGGTTACACAGAACAAGTTTAACCACTCTGCCACAGTGCC